ACATGGTTACAGGTAAGCAACCTTACTATCATTAAGATAGATCGTGAGCAGTCTTCCCTATTCCTGGGAGAGCTCAATGAGAACCACTTTCTTAGCATTGCTTAGTGCTTGGGAATTTATTACTATTTATTTATTATGAGGAGCATTTCTATCCCATCCTTCTCGCCTCCAAAGGGGAACTCAGGACGCGTACCAACAGGCACCATTCGGTGCCAAACAATAAAACCAGCATAATATACAATTGACCTACATTAAAAACAATTATAGATACATGTTGTCTTCCAAATCAATCCATTGCCATCAGCTAAAAAGTCCATTAAAGCCATCTATTCTGCGAACGCTTGATCCCATTTAGTGCATTGTTGACTGATAATGTCTGAGAAAGCTAAACTACATAGGATTTCAGATTGTCAATTTTTTCCATTTCATGAGGAGCTCACAAAACCCAGTCTCGGTGAGATAGGAGCCCTCTTCTCCCCAAATTCTAGTGCCTATGTCTGATTCTGACTGAAATCCATTGACGTACAGGGTTAGGGTTTGGGCCAAAAGTCAGGAAGGGGTTTCAATATTTAACTCCTTCATTTCTTTGGTTCTTGATTTACAATACCATAGCATCATATATCAGTTTATATGGGAAATAAATTGGCATTACATGTGAAAAATCAAATCTTGTGAAGGAAGAAAAATCAAATCTATCTCCATGGGAGCATCTCTCCCTGTGAACCAGCGTGGAATCTAAGATCAACCAGGGAGGCAGGCCCTCTTCTCGCTCCCGCCACCGTCTCAAGCAAGGTAGGTGGGGACGAGGGAGAGGGCCATCTCAGTCGTGACCCCTCATCTCTGGAATGCCCTCCCTAGAGAACTAAGACAGGCTCCATCACTTTCCTCATTTTGGAAGGACTTGAAGACCTGGTGGTTTCATCAGGCCTTCAATAACAACTAGCCCCAGGACCGAGGCCCCTGGCCATTAGTAGGGCCCAGCCAGCACTTTATCCGTTTCCTCGTTCCTTCTCCATGTCGTGATACCAGTTCCTGGCCCAGACCTCCCTCTTCAAAATTGCTGGAAGGCCCTGGAAAAAGTAGCCCCAGGCCCTACCCTGGCCAGCAATTTGGTCCACTCCAAGTACTTAACTCGTCCCTGGCCAATATTACTACCATATGAGCCCGACCAGCCCTTTTTAACTGTCCAGGGAAATATACAAGAGAGGCTATTGGTAATGCATCTTGCGCCTTGGATTATTATGAAATTAGTTTGTTTTAATGCATAGGATTGTATTAACAGGTTATGTTTATATTTTAATGGCTATTCCGTATGTTATATGTTTGCTTTGTGGAAACCACCCTGAGTCCCTTAGGGGAGATGTAGTGGTATATGAATAAAGATTGTTGTTGTTGTTGTTGTTGTTGTTATTATCCAGTACCACAGCATCATATACAGCAGAGATTTCCAAACATTTCATGTTGGTGACATAGTTTTTAGACGTGCATCTTTTCACAACACAGTAATTCAGTTTTACTAGCAAAGGAGAGATTAAACCAACCCCTTGTAGGAGATGGGGACACATATACACATTGTAATAATGAAATGTATGGAACACAACATACCTTTCATTTATATTTTTTAAAATGTTTATTTTTCTAGTCAAACTGCATCCTGAAAGGATGCCTGTCTCGAAAGAGCCTGACAAGTTTGGAAAGTTGTGATCTAGGGCCCTTCCACTCAGCCAGATAACCCAGAATATCAAGGCAGACAATCCATATCTGCTTTGAACTGGGTTATCTGAGTCCACACTGCCATATAATCCAGTTCAATGTGGATTTTATACAGCTGTGTGAAAGGGGCCTGATCCAGTTCAATGTGGATTCATGTTGAACTGGGCATGTTTAATCTGCCGAAAAGAAGACTGAGAGGAGACAGGATGATGGCCATGTGTAAATATGTGAGAGGAAGTCATAGGGAGCAGGCTTGTTTTCTGCTGCCCTAGAGACTAGGATGTGGAACAATGGCTTCAAACTACCTGAAGATAAAGAAGAACTTCCTGACTGTGAGAGCTGTTCAGCAATGGAGCTCTCTGTCCCAGAGTGTGATGGGGGCTCCTTCACACGCTGGATGGCCATTTGTCAGGGGTGCTTTTAATTTTTTTGCTTCTTGGCAGGGGATTGGACTGGATGGCCCATGAAGTCTCTTCCAACTCTATGATTCTATGTATACAGCTGTGTGAAGGGGCCTGAGTCCGCATTGCCATTTTTGTGTGTGTCAGGAGTGACTTGAGAAACTGCAAGTCGCTTCTAGTGTGAGAGAATTGGCCATCTGCAAGGACATTGCTAAGGGGACATGAAAGGTATGTTGTGTCCCATACATTTCATTATTACAATTACCAACCAGTGTTTCTCTCATGTCCCTGCATAAGAAGCAGGAGCTGACAGGCGGGAGCTCACCCCACTTCCCGGAGTCGAACTGCTGACCTTTCAATCAGAAGTTCTGCCGGCACAAGGATTTAACCCATTGTGACACTGGGGGGTTCAATGTGGATTGTATACAGCTGTGTGGAAGGGCCTGAGTCCTCATGCCATATAATCCAGTTCAATGTGGATTGTATACAGTTGTGTGGAAGGGGCCTGAGTCCACACTTCCATATAATCCAGTTCAGTGTGGATTGTATACAGTTGTGTGGAAAGGACTCGACTCCTCACTGCCATATATTCCTCACTGCCATATAATCCAGTTCAGTGTAGACTGTATACAGCTGTGGGCCTGAGTCCAGTCCAGTGTGGATTGTATAGAGCTGTGTGGAAGGGGCCTCAGATTTCAGGACTCTGTCCTGAAAGGATGTGGAGCTCTATTCTTGATCTGCATCTTCGCCCGCAGTGAGGGCATCGGTTTCCAGGTGGAAGGCGGTCCTGGTTGGGGTTGGCTTGATGCGCCTTCCTCTTGGCACATTTCTCTCTTTCACCCTCCATTCGTGCCTCTTCAAATTCTACAGCACTGCTGGTCACAGCTGACCTCCAACTGGAGCGCTCAAGGGCCAGGGCTTCCCAGTTCTGTGTCTATGCCAGAATTTTTAAGGTTGGCTTTGAGCCCATCTTTAAATCTCTTTTCCTATCCACGAACACTCCGTTTTCCATTCTTGAGTTTGGAGTAGAGCAACTGCTTTGGGAGATAGTGGTCGGGCATCAGGACAATGTGGCCGATCCAGCGGAGTTGATGGTGGAGGACCATCGCTTCAAAGCTGGTGGTCTTTGCTTCTTCCAGCGTGCCGATGTTTGTCCACTTGTCTTCCCAAGAGATTTGCAGGATTTTTCCGGAGGCAGCGCTGATGGAATCATTCTAGGAGTTGCATGTGATGTCTGTAGACAGTCCACGTCTCGCAGGCGTATAGCAGGGTTGGGAGGACAATAGCTTTATAAACAAGTACCTTGGTATCCCTACTGATGTCCTGGTCCTACTGATGTCCTGCTTCATTCGGAAAAATACTGCACTCGCAGACCTCAGGCGGTGTTGAATTTCAGTGTCAATGTTGACTTTTATGGAGAGGGGGTTACCAAGGTAGCGCAAATGGTCAACATTTTCTAATTTTGTTAAACTGTATTTCTGGCATTGGAGAGGGATTGGCTGGTGAGTACTTGAAGAGGAATATTCCAGATTAAAGCCGAAAATGTGGGATTCGGTTCAGTTGCATTTTATTTATTTATTTTGTGTATTTCTACCCCGCCCTTCTCAACCCCCGAGGGGGGACTCAGGGCGGCTTACAAAAGGCACAATTCGATGCCTACACAAACAGTAAAAATAAAACATATATAAACAGCAGTTAAAACAATTATAAACAGTTAAAATAATCAATTTTACATCACAATCAATAAAACCAATCTCATGTTCAACGTTCGCCAGCTCAGAATCCATTAATTCATTCCACATTGTTAGTTCCTATCAATTCTAGTCGTCATTGTCCTTCTGCCAGGTTAGCCAAACGCCTGGTCCCAAATCCATGTTTTTAATTTCCTTCTGAAAGAGAGGAGGGATGTTGGTGACCTAATTTTCCCAGGGAGTGAATTCCATAGGTGAGGGGCCACCACTGAGAAGACTGTGCTCCTCATCCACACCAATCTCACTTGTGATAGAGGTGGGGCCGAGAGCAGGGCCTCCCCAGAAGATCTTAAACTCCGAGGCGGGATGTAGAGGGAGATGCGTTCAGACAGATACGCTGGGCCAGAGCTGTATAGGGTTTTGTAGGTCAAAACCAGCACTTTGAATTGTGCTCGGAACTGGATCGGCAGCCAGTGGAGCGGACATAACAAAGGGGTGGTGTGCTCCCTGTATGTAATCTGGCTGCCTTCAGTCTTCAAAGGCAACCCCAGGTAGAGTGCGTTGCAGTACTCTATTCGGGATGTAACAAGAGTGTGGACTACTGTGGCCAGATCAGACTTCTCAAGGTACGGGCGCAGCTGGCACACAAGTTTTAATTGCGCAAAAGCTCTCCCGGCCACCGCTGGGGTTCCAGGCTCAGCGATGAGTCCAGGATCACTCCCAAGCTGCGAACCTGCATGTTCAGGGGGAGTGTAACGCCGTCTAACACAGGCTGTAACCCTATGCTCTGTTCGGCCTTACGACTGACCAGTAGGACCTCTGTCTTGTCTGGATTCAATTTCAATTTGTTAGCTCTCATCCAGTCCGATACAGCAGCCATGGAAGGGCCCCTGAAGAACCCCGAATCCCTGGCAGGAGGAGGCGAGGGCTCTTCTCCTCCCATCCCTTCGGGTGGCTATTTCTAAACGTGGGGAGGCTAAAGGGAGCCCGGGTCAAAGGGCGAGGAGCTGAGGGCCCCTCCTTCCCTCCATCCCCCGCTGCCTCTCTCTCTCTCTCTCTCTCTCTCCTGTGTCCCGGGGAGCCTTTAAGGGGAGGGGGCAGCGCCTGGAAGGCTCGGCTGCGGGGCGAGTGGGGATTGGGCCGCCTGAGGCAGAGCAGAAAGGGCGGCGGGGAAGAAGGGGGGGGGCGTGGGATATTGAGGCGAGAGCGCAACCAGCCACCGTGGGCTCTTTAAAAACAGGGGGAAGCCTCACCTCGCGCTCCGAAGAGTCTGAGGCGACTGAGAAAGAGAGAGAGGAGAGGGAGGGAGGCAGCCTCTTCCCCGCCCTTTCTGCTGCTCTGCTCTGCTCGGGGAGGATGGTAGTGGCGGCGGAGGGGCGGCAAGGCTCCTGCCTCCTCTTCTTCTTCGTCCTCCTCCTCTTGCTGCCCGGAGCCAAGCAGAGCCCGGAGCCCACCGGCTGCCAGCTCCACAGGAAAGTAAGTAAGTTCGCGGCGGAGAAAGAGGCGGGGGGGGGGGGGGTGTTGGGGAAGAAGCCCCTTCTCCCGCCTTTGTCGCGCCTGCTTTTTGAAACCAGGCACAGCACGCCGCGCGCCTCTCCAGAGTGGAGTTCCCACTTTGAGGGGAAAAGTTGGTCTGGAGTTGCGCGCGGGTCGGATTGTCAGCAAGGAGGAGGAGGAGGGGAGGGGAGGCACCAAATAAGACAAAATAGGGATTGGAACTTCCCTACCTCCCCCCCCCCCATATATGACTTTTCAGGTCAGTGGTCTCTTCCACACAGCTGACTAAAATCCCACATTATTATTTACTTTGGACTGGAATATATGGACTAGGACGCAATGGAACAATGGCTTCAAACTACAGGAAAGGAGATTCCACCTGAATGAGGAAGAACTTCCTGACTGTGAGAGCCGTTCAGCAGTGGAACTCTCTGCCTCGGGAGTGTGGTGAAAAACCAGGAAAATAAGATTGACTGTAAATAGAAGGTCACCTTTTTGCCTTGTTTTTTTTACTCCTGCTGTATTTTGAAATGGTCAAATAAATAAATAAATATTACTATCACTCAGATGATGTGGGTTTTCCTGCCTTGGTATTCTGGGATATCGGACTAGGACTGTGTGGAAGGGCCCTGGGTCCATACTGCCATAGAATCATAGAGTTGGAAGAGACCTCAAGGACCATCCAGTCCAACCCCCTGCCAAGAAGCAGGAAAATAGCATTCAAAGCACCCCTGACAGATGGTCATCCAACAGAGTCCGAGGCAGAGAGTTCCACTACTGAACGGCTTTCACAGTCAGAAAGTTCTTCCTAATGCCTCAGAGTGTGGTGGGGGCTCCTTCTTTGGAAGCTTTTAAACAGAGACCAGATGGCCATCTGTCAGGGGTGCTTTGAATGCAATATTCCTGCTTCTTAGCAGGGGGTTGGACTGGATGGCCCATGAGGTCTCTTCCAACTCTTATGATTCTATGGCAGTGTGGACCCAGGGCCCTTCCACACAGCCCAATATCCCACAATACCAGGAAAACCCACATTATCTGAGTGATAATAATAATATTCATTTATTTATTTTACCAGTCATATGACCATTTCAAAATACAGCAGGAGCAAAAAAACAAGGCAAAAAGGTGACCTTCTATTTACAGTCAGTCTTACTTTTTCTTTCAGATAACCTGAAAGTGTGGCCTCGGATAACCCAGTTCAAAGCAGATATTGTGAGAATTTCTCCTGCCTTTATCTTATGGGATATATAGGGCCGTGTGGAAAGACCCAGTGTCTCCTCATCTGGAGAGCTCAACAAGGCTCTCACATGAATAATAATAATAATACATTATAATAATCTTCTATATAAATAAAAATTTAATGTTCGTTTGTTAACATAACTCAAAAACCAATTGTGACCCAATTTGGACACAATACACCTATCAGGCCAACAAGTGACTATCGCTCAAAAAACACTGAAAAACACAGCAGAAGGGACTTAAAAGGTCCAAAAACAACATTACAACGCATACGCAAAACTACACACGCATGCACACACACACACACACACACACACACACATATATGCAAACACACATATATACACATATACACAAATATATACACACATATATGCATATATACCCACAAAACACATATACACAGACTGGGCCACAGCAACGTATGGCAGGGGACGGCTAGTATATTATAAATTTAATTAATAATAACAACAGGCAGGAAGCAGCCAGGCCTTGAAGCTGCAAGGCTATTCAATGCTCATCAAGGTGGCCAATTGCAACATTCACAGTTGCTGGCAAATAACTCCCAACAAAAGGATTCCACCCCCCACGTGCAGGAATCAGCCAGGCTTTGAAGCTGCAATGCCATTCAGTGCTAATTAAGGTGGCCAATTGTCACATTCATACTTGCCTCCATCAGACAAGAGTTCTTTCTCCCACCCAGGACATTCCTCAGATAAACCCCACTTGCCTAGTTTCCAAAAGTTTCCTCCCAATCTTTGAGGATTCCTGCCATAGATGTGGGCAAAATGTCAGGAGAGAATGCTTCTGGAACATCGCCATACTATTAATATTTCTTACCCGCCTCACCTCATGGCCAGAGGTGGGTTACAAAACGTCAAAATACATATGCACAGCAAATACATTACAAACACTCAAAGGCACCTCCATCAAAGTTCCATCCCAAAACGTATCTCTATGAAGGACATATTGAAACAGACAAAACAGAGATGAAACAAATTTGGACTTGCATTACAGTTCATGTTTATGATTAAAATCTGTCTGGGTAGTTAGACAGGTCTTCACTTGTGTCTTGAGTGAAGTGGAGTTTGGGGGAAATAGGCAATCAATGAGTACTCTGAATCCCACCAACTATAGAATTGGTCCAAACTTCCCACACAAAACCCCCCATGACCAACAGAAAATGTTTTCTGATGGTCTTCAGTGACCCCTCAGACACTCCCTTGTGACCCCCTCAGGGGTCCCGCCCCCAGGTTGAGAAACACTGAGGTAAACCATCTTGGTCACTTCCACTATGTCAGCTATTGCTGCTGTTACCATGTAAATTGGTAGAAAGGTAGGTAATGATAGTGTGAATAATCAAAATTTGGTTGAGATAGTGCTTGTAGTTCTGGAAGGACTCTATTTTTTGCTTCTCATATACTTGGCAAAGGGATTTAGTTAACCAGTTAAAATTCATGAGTAAACCAGTTTCTTTTCTTACCTGAAAAAAATTCAGGGGTGATTTGAACCCCTAAACTGCCCCCTTAGCTATGGGCTTGGGAGTCAGTCATTTTATTGTTAAAGGGAACAGACAGGACTTCAAAACACCCTCCATGAGACTATCTCCTCCCTCAGACCCACGAGGACAGGAGGCACCTTCCAAAGTGAGCCCCAAGAGACAGAAGTAGAGGCTGCTGGTGGTGAGGTTCCTGACTTCTGGCAACCCCAAAGTGAACCTCTTGAGGAGTTTCCTGGACGAGACTTGAGGCGAAGGGTGTGCGAGTCACCTCGGTGGGCTTCCCTGGCTGAGTCAAGCCACAGCTAAGCCTCATGCTGATAAATCTTTAATGTATTGTCGAAGGCTGTCATGGCCAGACTCACTGGATTACTGTGAGTTTTTCATACTGTATAGCTTTATTCCAGTAGCATTCTCTCCCGACATTTCACCTGCATCTATGGCAGGCACCCTCAGTTTGTGAGGTCTGTTGGGAATGAGGCAAGTGGGGTCTGTGGAATGTCCAGGGTGGGAGAAAGAAGCCTTGTCTCTTTGAGGTGAGTGTGACTTGCAATTGGCAAGCTTCATTAGCATTGAAAATCCTTGCAGCTTCAAAGCCTGGCTGTTGTTGCCTGGGGGCATCCTTTGTTTGGTAGGCGTCGGGCAGACTAATTCAATCATAGGAGTCAGCTATAGCAGAGCACTTGATGAACCAACCCAGACACAGTATTATTTGAGAACACAGAAATGCTGGACCCACTCAGACAATTATATCAGACTGCACAGAGAAGACCTTGAAATCCACATGCATGCAGACAATTTCAACAGAAAGGAGGAAACCATGAAAATAACTTAAATCAGGCTACCAGTATTAAAAAAACACACCAAATGGACAGCAAATAAAGACCCCCCCCCCCCCCAGAAACAGGGAAATTCAAGACAGTTAACAATCAAGTGCCAGCTAACACCTCCCAAACAAAGGATGCCCCCAGGCAGCAACAACCAGGCTTTGAAGCTGCAAGGCTTTTCAATGCTAATCAGTTGGGCCAATTGCAACATTCACACTTGTCTCAAACAGACATTCTACAGACCCCACTTGCCACATTTCCAACAGACCTCTAAACAAACCTCAGAGATGCCTGCCACAAATGCAGGCAAAATGTCAGGAGAGAATGCTGCAGTTTTCAGGCTATATGGAACATGGCCATGATATATATGTTTACTGTTTTGTTTTGCTTTGTTTCTACTGTTCATTGTGGCATTGAATGTTTCCCATCTTTTTTGGAAACTACCCTGAGTCCCCCTGGGGAGATAGGGCGGGTTATAAATAAAGTTGTTATTATTATTATTGTTGTTGTTGTTGTTGTTGTTGTTATATTATAGCTTAAAAAACTCACAGCAGCCCAGAGAAGTCTTTAGCTTAATCCTTCAAAACTCAGCAGTAGTCTCTGAGGAAATGACTCCTGACTCATCCCTATAGGAGAGAAAAGCAAGATAGACATAAAGTTAATAATTATAAGAGTTATCATCATCCTGCCTGGCACCCAGCGAATCCTTCATGTGTCATTGTCATGGGGCTTCCCTTCTAGGATGTCACCACTAGCCCAGTTGGTACATTTGAGGCGTCTTCTACACTGCCATATAAAATCCAGATTATCTGCTTTGAACTAAATTATAAGGCAGTGGAGACTCATGTAATCCAGTTCAAAGCAGGTAATGTGGATTATCTGCTTTGACAATCTGCTTTTATATGGCAGTGTAGAAGGGGACTGGGTGCTTTTTAGTTTCCCTTGCTCCCGCATCTTTGGGAACTGGCTCTCTGAGGACTTGCTTCTAAGGCCCCTTCTTAACTGCCATATAATCCAGGTTATCAAAGCAAATAATTCATATCTGCTTGGAACTGGATTATTTGAGCCTACACTGCCATATAATCCAGTTTAAAGCAGATAAGGTGGATTTTATACAGTTGTGTATAAATGCCTTAGGGCATTTCCACCCAGCAATATAACCCAGAATATCAAGGCAAGTAATCAACAATATCTGCTTTGAACTGGGTTATGAGTCCACACTGCCATATAATCAAGTTCACTGTGGATTTTATACAGCTGTGTGGAAGGGACCTTTGAAGTGGGTTTTGCTCTTGGGCAGGGGCCACAGCGGTGATGCTAAAGCTGGGCAGTAATTTCCTATTTGCCCCAGACCTCAACAGACAGATCTCAAAGTTGAGACTGACTCCATGCCTCTCCGGCCTGTTGAGGGCCAC